ATGCTCAATTTTTACGTGAGACTCGGTTTAACTGAGAAAGCAAAAGATTTCATTTTCCAGATAAGGAAAATTCAAGTCGAATTTGATGAGGAGCTTCTCAAGGCAGCGATGAAGGTTTTTTGCATTGAAGGAATGGTCAAAGATGCAGTGCAGTTGATACGAGAGTTCAGTTCAAACAAAAAATTTGAAGATTCTGTATTTACACAGACTTTTTCTGTGGCCATCCATGGAAATGATAGATTTACTGCAGCCGGAATTGCTTCCAAGCCCTTGGACCAACCAGGTGCTATGGCTTTTGAGCTGGCCCTTATACTCTATATAGCAGATGGAAATACAACGAAGGCAGAAGAAACACTAAATTTGTTGCTTAAGACTGCAAATGGCCTGTCTGTTGCTAGTCAGCTCATCAGGAAATTCACCAAAGAAGGTAAAAAAATTTGCTCTTGCGTTTAGTAAGTTAGGTGTAAGCAACACTGACTATCTCTTCTCTTTAATATTCTTGATATGCATACAAATGTGACTGGCAAAAGATTGACCTTGACAGATTTCCTGTCCCGATGAATTGTTTTGATTAAAATAGCATAGAACCCAGAACTCATAATTTCGTTAGCTTCATCCCACTATGGTGATATGATATGGTTACTAAAGTGATCAACAATGGCCATCTAGGACTATTGTATCTGAATTTTTCTTTCCGCTCTAGTTCATCCTTTAAGTAGAAATGTTACGAGGCCTGATTTTTTGGTAATATACATCAATTTCTCCTGTAGGTAACATTTCAAAGGCAGAAGACCTTTTTAAGCTGTTAATGAAGCTGGGTACAAAACCAGAGGATGTTGCAATTGCATCCTTGATCAATTTTTATGGGAAGCAGAAGAATTTGAAGGAAGCGCTTAATGTCTTTGCGTCAGTTGCGAACTCCTCCAGGAGTGGAAGTCTTATATACAATTCTATAATTGATTCATATAATAGATGTGACAAACAAGAGGAAGCTTACATGTTTTACAGGGAAGAGATGAAGAAAGGGCATGTTTTAGGTCCAGTTGCTATTAGCATGCTGGTGAATGGTTTAAGTAATTGCGGTAAGAGTATGGAATCTCTGACTTGAATGCTTTCTGTTCAATTTAAGACTGTGTTACCCTGTTTAATTGCGTTTAAACTACTTTATCTATACAATCATCTATTTTGGCATAATCCTAAACTATTAACGCTCTAGTACAATATCTTTAGTATGGGTGAAGGATGGTGAGGGATCACTGACTCCTTTCTCTCCATTTCTTAAGGAGTTATAGAAATTTCTGTGAAAATGAAGCCCTTCTTCAAGGAGCATATATGAGCATGCCTACCTTCTATTCCCCTAAAATTTCCTGGTACTTCAAGTTGGTGTAGCTCTGTGCCAATCAAATAAATTAAACAGATGTTTGGTGTTTGCGTCCCACAATTTTTCATTTGATTTCCTCACTGCCTTCTGTTAATGCAATTGATCTCTTTAATATCTCTTGTTCTTTCTAAATTTTAAAGGTAGATTGAACACCAGAGTCCACACCGATTTCTCTATTTATTTGTCGAAGAACTGCAACATTCTTCCCCAGTATGACAAGTGGGTTGTGTTAGGATTAGATATTTGGAACGCATTAAGAGTTCCATTATCTCATAAATTTTTTTTGATTTACATTTAAAACAGCTGCTGTAGAAGAACCTGAAATTGGAAAGAAGAAATAGATATCTTATTTGCTTGTATTATCTGATTATGTTGCTTGATGTTGTTGAAATGCAATGTGCAGGGAGATATACTGAAGCGGAGGCCATTATTCACAATTCTTTGCGTGCTAATTTGGAGCTTGATACTGTGGCTTATAATACATTTATCAAGGCAATGCTGCAAGCAGGTTAACTTTTATCAAAGAGAACAATTGCCTAAAGCATTTGAACCTTTTTTTTTCTTTCATTTGGAGCATATTGAGATTCAATATTGACCAGAAATTAAAAGTTTTGAGACCTAAAGACATTTTAATGGAGTGCAGGTAGATTGCGGCTTGCATCCAGAGTTTATGAGCACATGCTCTCCTCGGGCGTTCCTCCATCAATTCAAACATACAACACCATGATTAGGTTAGAGCATGCCATTCTTTAAAATGAGAGAAAGAGATTATATTTTGCATTTCTCGTAAGTGTAAGAATTTGGTTGTGGATGCAGTGTATATGGACGGGGAAGAAACCTGGATAAAGCTGTGAAGGCTTTTGATATTGCTCAGAAGATGGGCATTTCTTTGGATGAAAAGGCTTATACCAACTTGATATGTTATTATGGAAAGGCTGGTAATTACCTGCTGCCTAAATTTCTCATCAGGGGTTAGTTAAGGAAATCTGGGTCTTTCTGGTGAAGATCAATTAAATGCTAATTCTCCTAATTTTTATCTGTCTCACAATATCTCGTAAAAATAGGTAGTATTGAAAATTGTCATTTTCATCGTTGTGGTTTAGGTAGCTGCTTGGCCTTATCTTCTGTGTGTTTCTGTATTCCCCAAAAAGAATTGCTAATGTGAATGGACATGCTTCATGTGTGTCTTTTTTACTTTCTTAAATTCAAGACGCTCCTTTTCTGCTCTGTTCAAACTTCAAACGCCTGTCATAATGATTGTATTGTTGCCCATTGTTTTTGGTTGGTGTAGAGCTATCTTTTCCCTGGGCGAGGGTGGAGAGGAAAATGTGTGTCTGTACTTGAATTCTCTTAGCTTCTGTCACAAGTGTTTTATTTGTAGCAATTTTGTGATTTCTTATTTTCGATCGATGCAGGGAAATATGATGAAGCATCTAATCTATTTGTCAGAATGCAGGAAGCAGGGATAAAACCTGGACAGGTATGTATGCGTAATCAGAGCCAGATCCAGTTGAAAAGTCATTTTACTTTTATTTTGCGGCAGTAAATATGTATCTGCAGTACAGCCACATTCTGGCTAGTGAAATGTTGTCATGTGCTTTCAATGCACACCTATGTGTCTTGGTTGTCAGTAATGCACTGTTAATGTTCAATGCCATTTATAGTATAGAAGAATGCTTAGAATTGGATTGCTACATCAAAGTACTTAATAATTTTCAGCACATTGCAGGTGAGCTGCAACGTCATGATGAATGTATATGCGGCTGCTGGACTTCATCAAGAAGCTGAAGTCCTCATGCATAGCATGCGGAGCAGTGGTTGTAAACCTGACTCCCTAACCTATCTTGCACTTATTAGAGCATATACAAGGGTGGTAGAGTGCTCAGAGGCTGAAAAGGCCATTGATTCTATGCAGAAAGAAGGAATTCCCCCTTCTTGTGCTCATTTTAACGCGTTGCTATCAGGTTTTGCAAAAGGGGGATTAATTAGAGAAGTAGAAAGGATTTATAATAATCTCATGAATGCTGACCAACAACCTGACCTAGAGTCTCATAGTCTTATGCTTAGATGTTACATGGACTATGGTCGTGTGGAGGAAGGCATTTCCTTGTTTGAACGAATCTCCAAGTCTGTAAAACCTGACCGGTTTATAATGAGTGCAGCTGTGCATTTGTACAGGTCAGCAGGCTTAGTACTCAAAGCAGACGGAGTGTTGAGGTCTATGAACAGTTTCGGGATTCCTTTCTTGGAGAAACTTGAAGTTGGATCGAAATTGAAAGCTGACTGATTCATCAGCATAGACTTTAGAAAACTGGACCATTTAACGTACTTCTTGGTGGGATGAGACTGAATGCCAAATTACAACTACGTCATATCAAGTATGCAATTGTGCTTAGACTCGCGTGGATGCAGCAGTGCCAAGGTCATACCAGCAAGGCTGGAGCTAAGCTAATACTATGAGAAGGAGTTGATCGGTTGGAATAACATGCAACATTGAGTTTGGCAATGTCTGTCACACTGCTCTAAGGCAGTATCTGATGTGTTGATGATCTTCTTACTGGACAGAGTACTTCTCAAGTCGCGAATATGGTGGATTCTGACGAACCAATTTTGAAAGCCTGAGAAGGATGAGGGAGTGTAAATAGCAGTTAGTTTGTATCAAAAAATGATTTAGGTTTTATGTACAAACGTTGACACCGAGTATAAGTAATTTTGTATATCTAGTTTTTATTTAAATGTCTTGCAAATTCTTCGTTTCTTTATTTATGCGTTTGAACCTAGTGTCTTAAGTGGAACTTCACATTCTTGTATTTCTTTCTTCCCCTAACGATACAGGAAAAAAAATATTTCGTAGTGCTAAGTCGGACTAAGCTTATTCCTTAGATATAGTTATTATTTAGCCATACTTTAATTTAATTGTGGCGGTAACAAACTATTTGTTGGTCGCCTTTCTCTAATCAAACTTTCGCTTCCTCTCGCTTTTTATACAAACACAAATGTATCAAATACGTTTGTGTTTGTATAAAGCGAGAGAAAAGTGTATGTATACATATATTTTTATTCTACTCTCCCAGATCTCGCTCGCCTCTCTCGCTTATACAAACAAAAACGAAAATATATAAATTGCATTTCTGTTTGTATAAATCAAAAAAAAAAATTGTATATACACACGCAAATACATATATCTTAGTCATATACACTTATAATTATACAATACAAATATTTCACTGCCCAATTTTCTTTTATCTTTCTCGTTTTATACACACGCAAATTATTCAATTGATCTTTTGTATACAATTGTTTCTTTTGTATATATATACCGAATTATATAACTGGTTTCTTTATATATATATATATAGCGAATTATATAACTATTTTTTTTGTATATATATAGCGAAATATACATATTTATGTTTACTGTGTAGCGCAATTAATTGATATAACATACTAATATGTGAAAGCTACTAAAAAAATCACTATGTTGCATAAATAAGTAGAATTTACTTATTTTTGGAGAGTTAATATAATTTGATGATAAAAATTATATATATAGAAACCGGAAAAAGGAAAAAAGAAAAAAGAGAAAAGAACTAGTAGTAACCAAGATCTGGTCCGAGTCGAGGGAGGCTAAATCGCATTTGTTGAATAGCAGTGGGAATTTTAGCGTTGGGGCAAAATATCAATGGCATCAAAACAAGGCATGACAATGGCTACCAATCTCCTCAAAACCCTAACCGGAGCATCTTCCATTGTCCGGTCCAACACCAGAAGTCTCAGCGGCGTTGCTAGCAGCGAGGTCATCACCTCTCATACAGAGAAATGGATGCAGGTTAGATTCTCCTTTTTCTCACCTCGTGCTCTATTTTTCTATTGATGTTTCTGGTCGGATTTGTACTCATCGTCATCGTTGCTGTGATGCCCTAGCTTATGGATCATCAAAAATTAAAATATGTATTAGCTACTCTATTCTTCTCTACGCTGTTTTTGTCGCACGGTTTTCGTTATTGATAATATATTCATCTTCTTTAAAGATGTGTGTGTTTGTTCTCCAGTGGACTGCTTCATAAGGAATTTCCAAATTTGGAGACACAAGGAGGATAGGATTAAAATCTCTTTTTAGAAACATATGTAGTTTGATACTCTAGGAAGTTTGGTTGTAGAAGAATCTGATAAGCAGAGCTGTTATTTTTTTGGCACAAATAACAAGGATAAAGGTATAAGTGAAGGTGAAAATTGATCTCTCAAGTGAGGATTAGGATTTTCCCACCTTTTAGGACGGACTTCATATCTTGTGCAAAGGGAATGAATGCTGAGTATTGCGTGTTATACCAAAAGTATGCAATTTGTTTATATCACATGGAGAAATTGCATTTGAAATAATGTTTTAAAATAGCTCAAGAGAACAATACCATGATTATTACTAAAAAATATCAGTATGTTTCATGGACTTTGAACAATACAAATATGGAAAAAGGGAACAGATATCCATGCATATCCTCAAATCTTTTCTTCTTTGCTGATATGAAAGGATTGGTGGGATTAAAAGACGAATTAAACATTAGTAAAAGCATATGAGTGTATGTAGAATTTAAGTCAGGATATGTGCTGGGCTGAAATCAGATCATCTCTTGGTACTTTCAAGATTGTGCCAAAGCAGAAATGCACCTAAGGAGTAGATGCTGCAAATAAGAACTGAACAAAATAACCTGTCAAGATTAAAGATCCAGTGAAAAAGAAATCATGGCACTAAGAGGTCACCCCACCCCACATCTGTGTTGCCGTTAAAACATAAGTGTGAAGAGAAAGTGGAATAGTGAAGCCATTGGAAGGTAGAACACACAATCAAAAGGAAAAACCGCAAATTGAGAAAACACTGACAACATTTTCATAGAAACTATTCAAAAAGGAAGTGCATCCCATATCTGATTTTCTACTTACTATTTTGGGTTGTTACAAATATGTTCACTTTCTTAAAAGAACACTTTTTGTCTAGACTTTCTGGTATTTCTTTGTTCTATTTTTTTTAGAAGGTAAGATATTTATGTGTGAATAAAATAAACTACTCAAAAATTCTGTAGACACTCATATTAATAGTGTGGAGTAGAAAAGAATTTCTAATCCTTTGTCTTCTCACAAGGATTCTTGAACATCAAAAACAGATACAAGGTCTTTTAAGTACTCTTGCTTACACACAAAAATAGAAAAGGACTAGACGCTCATTTTAGCTACTTGATGTTAAGGGATTTATTTTCAAAGCATCTTTGATTTCTCTCTTCCAAAGTATCCACCAAATACACGTTGGGACAACCTCATCACTCTTCCTGATCAGAAAGGCTGCCATCTCCGTTCCATCATGCGAGAACTAAAGGTATTCTCCTTAGCATAGTGCACATAAAACCCCTTAAGTTGATGAATATCTTCCATAACTGAACTGTCAACTCACAATGTAAAAAGAGATGATTGATTGCCTCAGCCTCCTCTCCATGTAAGTAACATCTAGAGCATAACTGGTATCCTCTCTTGGTAACGTTGGTTTGTGTCAAAAATGGCTCTTTTGTCAAAAGACATGTAAAGCTAGCAAATTTTTTTTGGAAGTTCCTCTATCTTCTTCCAAAGGCTAATATCCAATTTGATTATTTGAGAGGTTGAATATTTACAAGCTGACTTAACTCAGAACTTGCCTTGCCTATTCCCTTGCCAAATCATGTAGTCATCTGCAGTAGAGGTCTTTTGGAATTGTTCCAAAGTACTGTAAAACTTAGTTAATTTGCTAATCTCCCAATCATGTAGTAGTCTTCTGAAGCTTACGTTCCATCCTTTAGTTTCCCATACCTCTCTCTCTGTTGCTGCTTGTTGCTGACTCAGATTGTGAAGATCAGGAAAAAGTTGTTGTAGTGATCCTTGACCAATTACCTTCCCAAAAAGGTATATTCATTCCATTTCCTACTTTGAAGCTGGACTTGTTCATGAATTTCGACTAAAGATTTCTGATCGACCTCCAAAGACAGTTTATAAGGACCACTCACAGAATTGGTTGTCCACTGTCCTTCTATCCCATACTTTTCTTTGATTACATCTTTCCATAGTGATCCGTCTTCTGCAACAAATGTCAACCACCCCATCATTGAACTTTTATTCTTAACTCTCAGATTCTCAATTCTGATTCCCCCTTCCTTCTTAGTGGTAGTGAGAGTACTCCATTTGACCAAATGAGTTCTTTTTTTGTCATCGGTACCTTGCCAAAGGAAGTTCCTTCTTAGTGCATCTATTCTCTTCGCTGCATTTACAGGAACTGAAAATAAAGACATTATATAAGTAGGCATTGCATTTAGTACAGTGTTAATCCGAACTAGTCTGCCCCTCATAGATAGATATTGGCTCTTACAGTTTGCCGGCTTCCACGTCTCTCTAAAACACCATTCTGTATGCTTTTGGTCTGCTCTTGATCCCAAATGGCATCCCCAGTAAACTGTTGGCAGTTCTCCTATTCTTCCAGTTTGCTAACGTCATTTCACATATCTTCTTCTATCTTTATAGGGGTACTTTTTTAGGAAGGTATTTGGACCATTTCTTATTCTTTATAACTTTTTCTCCACTATCAGGTTATTTTTCTCTGAAATGCAGCAATACTTTGACTCTCACTTTATAGTTTCCAAACAAAATAGAACATATAAAGTGGGACAGATGCTAAATAGGTAGTGTTGGATAAAACCCTTAAAATGGTTTCTCTCCCTAATTAGTTCTTCTGAGTCTATTGTGTCCTTCAGTTACTAACATCTGATGTGTTATGTTCACTTGAACATAGATTGTGAAAGTCTAATGAGACAAGCTTGGTGTGATACTCTTTCCAAAGGACGACCACAAGTTTCAGTGCACCTTGATATACATGGATGCCGGCAAGTTGAGCCAGCCAAATCTGAGGACAAGCTTGACTTTGTCAGGTCCTCGCTTGGGATAGGCTAGCCTGAGATCTTCTTGCTTAAGATTGCTGCGATCTATCAACTGCGAGGCTTGAGATTTACCAATTTGATTTGAGATAGAATTAGCCATTTCCAATTTTAACCATTGGAATGAGAACCTTCGCAACTCAACTTTCAACACTTCTCATGTGGTTGTGTGCGCGACCTGAATCTTTGCTTGCATGTCAAAAAATGGAAGCTGAATGGCAGTCATTATCGAAATCATGGGAAAGGAAAGATGAGATTGAGATGGGTAATGGAGTGGGAGAGACGAAAGAAGAAATAAAAGATAGAGATTACACATGATTGTAGATGGCAAGAAGGGACTGATCGGAGATTGGACTGACAGGGCTAGAAAGACAGATAGAGGCAAGAAGTAAAACATGTGTTAACTGAAAGTAGATATTGTAGTGTGTACTCATTAAAAGAAATGGATTCATTAGTGTGTATTTATCATTGGAGTATATTGAAGAAAAGTATTATGAAGATATTTAATGGTTACTATTTAGACAAGATGTATTTAAGCTTCAATTGAAGGGGCTCACAAGCATGGAGACGAGCTTTTATGGTGTTGAGCTTAACAGAATGCTAGCAGTGTTGTCAAAGACTTGCTTAAGCCCTGAAGCGAGGCTCAAAACATGTTGAGCATGTGCCTCGCTAACTTGCGCTTCAGTTCCATCATCAAGGTTCTAACGCTTACTTTCCCTTGCCAATGAGTGACACTAAATAATTGATATTTCACTTAATCGTGATTTTTTCTTTTTCAACTTCTTTTACATATATTTGTCATTCATATGTATCATTATTGGTCTTGGACTAACATATATATTTGTATTTTTCACCCTTTTTGCCTTTTTTTCATTAGCACCTCACGCTTTATTTGCGCTTAAAACCCCAACAAATCTTACAGGATACTAATGCTTTTTGCTTTTGATAACACTGAATGCTAGTCAAACTAAGCAAGTTCTAGACTGCTTGAGTAGAGCTTATCAGCTGTCCTACCATGCTTCTGGTCCAAGTAGTAATCCATTTTCCCCCTTCATTCCCAATCCAAAATTTTGTTCTTTTTTAAAAGGGTGTTGCACCAGAGTTCTGTGACCATTTGTGTGGTAGAAAATCCATTATTTCGTCAATTTTTGGACGTGAATCGTATGTAAAGCACACACTTCCATGAGCTTGTCAGAAATTATGTAAACAGGTGACCACTTTATAGAGATGGCAATCCAGTGGAACAATAAGCTTTGATAAGGAAAAAAAGGCAATGGAACAATAAGGTATCAAGGATTTCTCTAGATATGAAGTCCTTGAATTTTGCTGTTGTTTCTACCATACCTCTTTTTAAACCAAAATTGCGTTTAGAAATTTCTGCATATCAATCAGTGTCAAGCCAGTGAAACAATAAGCTTGATCAGATATAGCTAGATGAATAATAAGGACTCAAGATTATACCAAGATATGACGTCCTTGTTGTTACTGTTGTTTGTATCATGCAATTTTTTTTACAAAATTATACAAGATTACTGCAAGAATTTTCTCCCCATAAAGTACTCTCTTTTCCTGACTGTTTTGTGGTTCTTGATGGTAGGATACTAGCAAGAAATCTCCCATGGAATTGATCAGTGAAGTTCCACCTATCAAGGTTGAGGGAAGGATTGCTGCCTGCGAAGGAGGTAATTTGAATAACATATTGTACCCCAATTTCTTTTGCTAGTGTTGGTGAGTTGCTTAGGAACTGTACTGCTTCCATTAAGAATCATCTGCCTGAAAGTACTATCTTTTTTCTTCTGAAACAGACTCACCTGCTCTTGGACATCCAATTGAGTATATATGCCTCGATCTGCCTGAGCCAGCTATATGCAAGTATTGTGGTTTGCGCTTTGTTCAAGATCATCACCATTAGGGCTGCATTATGAGAATCCCTGAATTAAGAAGTCAGTCTTCATTTTCTATGCAAGCAACTCTGATTATTGTGTTCCTTTTGCACTACTGATGCAGGCAAGTTTTGCCTCTCGTAATAAGGATTAGGGTTCCGTGTGATCCATTTTCTTAAAGCTGGCATGCAGATGCTTTTGACAAGTTCATTTCTCTCTTTCTCACATACATATCACAAAAGCCTGATTAAATATATGTTAGCTGCCAAAGATTTTCAACATGACTTGTATAGTTATATTACGATTCACAACTATTACTCCAGGTACGCTGAGAAGGCAAAGTTGGAACTCGACTTGAGGCAAGACACTTGGGACAAATGGAGGAAGCACTTGTTTCATGAGTTTTACATCTCAATGTCCAGATGTATGCTCCAAATGTGCTCTACGCCTAATGCACTTAGCTCGCCCTATATTTATTTTTTTTTGTACAGACATGCCCTGCGGACACTCAAAGTTCCTTAACTAACCCTTTTGATTCCCCTCAATCACACTTCCATTTGTAAGTTATCAGTCGTCACAATTCAGAAGCTTGAGAATATTGCAATCCAAATAGGTACACGTACGAGTCGTAATATTTGCATATGGGTGAGTTTGGGTGGAACCTTAAAGTAAAACCAGCAAATGAATCTGCTGAAAGAATACTCTTCAGTTGGTGATAATTTTCACCCTTTTAACACTTTATTTCCAGGCGCTGAATACGCAAGTGACAATTTAAAATATGAGTAAAACACAGGGCATGCCTAGGCTAATCTGATACAATGGAATTGTTAACTCGCAAGAGGCCAAAATTTCCCAAATAATTGAGAAAAGAATAAAAACCATTCTTTGAATGTCAGTAATAATTTTCTGAGAAGGCACCTCACCCTTGATCAACTTCTTTGACAAGTCATCTAAAGGATAAAACTTCTTCACTTGTCACCCTCAGCTGCAGCTAATTTCCTCCTTTGCTGATGTTCTGCAACTTTGTAATCTACCACTTCACGAAACAAGTTAGCGTCTAATACACAGTATTCACTCCCGTATACAGCAGCTTGAACACCAGCCATCATTTTTGCAACCTCTCTGCCTGAAAATCCCTCCATCCTCGCTGCAGCTTCTCTCAGAATATCATCTGTCAAACCTTTTATCTCTATTTTCTGCTGCTGTTTCTTGAATAAGTTTGAAAACAAGCCAGGTTTCCTTTCCCCGGCTTGAGCTATATATTTCTCCAGATAAAGTTTTATCAGCTTGAAGCGCTCATCCTCACCAGGCAAAGGGAATTCGATGACTTCATCAATACGGTCTGCAACAGCTGAATCAAGATCACCGGGCCGATTTGTAGCCAAGGCAAGGACTATATCTTTTGACTGATCACCAGTACGAAAAAGGAGTGCATTGAGGGCACTCCTCTGAGCTTCACTCATGTAGGTTTTATTTCGCCTGAAATTGACATGAAATGTTCATATATGAAATAGCTGTACACTCAAATTCTAAGCGCCAATCATTCATACATGATAAAGTGAAAATCGAGCAAGCCATATAATGATATGCCTGCCCTAGATATCACAAAATGAATATGATATAACTGGTATTGCTAGGGAGCAATGTGGCATTATTAATTTGATGACATTTATATGAGGTCAGGATTTTCCCTTTAACATCAGCAAGTTCGCTCTCCAAAGAGAACAAGGACTCGGTAATAAGATCACCATTCAAGCATGGCTATCTCTCCTGATGTTTTTCAGTGCCTTGCAACTCCCAGAATTTAAAACTTCTTCCAAACACATCTTGAACCACAAAGGACTCCAGAAATTCCCAAACAAGATTATACAAATTACTTCACCAAAGAAAGTAGACCTCTTTGTACAGCAACTCAATTAAATAATATGAACCTATGCAGATATTTTATTTAATATCTAGATCAGCCAGAGGCAGCAATGATGAGGAAAAGTCACTTACTCGCACAAAAATGCATCTGCTTCGTCAATAAAAAGTAATAAACCCTTTTTGGACTTCTTAGACCAGTCAAATAACTGATGTATTTTGGTGACAGCCTGCGATCCCAGCGGCGCAACGTCACCACCCGTCATCAATGCGTAGTCAAGTCCCTGACAACAGATTCAAGCATATTATTGAACACCAAAACAAAGTCAGAACTACCAATTTATAGATATTTCATTAAGAGAGCTATATATCATCTCTCTCTTGAGAGTATTCGTTTATACAACTTCTTGACAAGTGTCTTTACTTTCAGAACAGTGAGACTTTGCATCAAATTTTTGCTTTTTTTATTTTCTCCAGGCTCTTTTTGTTAACTTCATAAGATGGTAGACATGCCTGCTTCCATGGCAACTCGATGCTTTATTAAATTGTATCAACAGGCTTCCCTAACCCATATGCAATATTTAACAATTTTGCATGAAACACATATCAATATAAATAGGTAAAGATCACGACTCATAAGTTGAAAAAGGAAGAAAGATCTTACAGATCTGCGAGCAAGCTCTCTAGCAACCATTGTCTTCCCTGTTCCTGGAGGGCCATAAAAGAGCATGTTGCGAAATGGAGCTTGATGAGATTTGGTATTAGCAGTTGCATTGGCTAACTGCTGAATCCTCTTTTCAAGAGATGGGTGTAGAATGACATCACCAAACCCTTTCTCAGATTTTGCGGAACCTCCATTAGCACCTTTGAGAGTGCTCATGGCTCGTGAGAAGAACCCTGACCAGGGATATTTACCCCTAGATGACTCTCTGATCAATGATGGCTGTCCTAATATTCTGTCCACATAACTCCAAACAACTCTTGCACCTTCCCTGCAATCCACATAGCAAACTTGCATCAACCATACTATATACACCAGGGAAAATAAGCAGTGCTGGAAAAGTACCTTCAAGAACAACCACGGAACCAAGAGAATAACCATAAATTTATAGTTTACCACCGCCTATTCCAAATTGATCTATTTCTTTGTTGCTATTAGCCATTTTAAATAAACCAGTGGAATAGCGATAGAGGCAGCAATCAAATAAATACAACTATAGCAGTACTAATTATCATATGAATTCTGCACGGCTAAAATGATGGAAATATTTAGAAGTTGGCATCCCATTACAGTAGGATTCTCTTCACTAGTGAGTCTTCATTTTATCCCCACAAGGTGTGTTGAGTAATAATGATGCTCAAACTAGAAGAATGAGCAAAGAAGACATAGGCCAATAACCACAACGGATTCAAAAAGCCAGCAGAAAGCCTCGATCCCACCAGGGCATCATAAGCCGCAACTAAAATGACGGAGATGTAAAGGACTGATCAATGTGATTATAATTTAAAACACCACCACTCTTTACACCAGCCTCCCCCCAAAAAAAAATTCCTTGATTAGACCAACTTAGAAACTATAAAATAAACAAAGGAGCATGGTCAAAGTAATTGCAGAACGATCTCCTGCAAATTGCCCCCTTAATTTTTTGGACTTCATCAGCTCTTGAGCATTAGCTTAGCTATATTTTATATTTAAAACAGATAGTATTTTGTGTTTTCACTATCTTTTGTAATCATTGCATCTTCTTGATTCCATCAATAAATTCCTCTTCCGTCATTTAACAAAAAGTAGGGTCAAAGTATCTGATGTCTGTTCATGTGGTTTATGAAGTGGAAAAAAAATGCCTAAATCTCAAAAGTAATGTAAATGAGAAAATTAACATCACAACAGTTCACATGACGTGGGGAAAATCAGCACAAGCCAAAAAAATTATATTGCTATTTTGAAAATATATTTAATACCTTGTTGTGTATATTCCAGCTGCAAGAGCTGTCACACCACCAACAGCCACAACAAGCTTATTTTGATCTGTTAGTATTGCACGGAGACCACCTACATAAATGGATATCTTCACGTCAGAAAGATCATACTTATTTTGCATTAGCAGTAGCCAGAAATGCAAGCCTAGCTACCATGTGTGCATATGACATAAATATGTGGTGCTTTATTACCTTTTTAAAAGAAAATGTTACATACTGCAATTTATTTTGCAAAGTTCTAATACACCACTCAAGTATCAGCACTAATTGTAGTCGCTAGGGGCATGCCAAGCATCAGAAGAATGAAGCATTTATACATATGTAATGAATCCAGAAAATGTGTGTGGTGTATTTAATTTTTTTCTGTTACACTAATTGAAAAGGATAAAGAGACATGAGCACAGAAAATATCTAAATTACAAACTCATTAATTGTTTCCGACAGCAGCAAACAAATATTACTCCACAATACTTGAAACAAATAAAAGTTAAAATCTTTTCCTGTTTCTGTTTCCCAAGTCTCTTCTTCAGCAATAAAATAACAAGCACAACCCATTGGCATGAAAAGCAAGTTTAGATGAAAAAAATTCAACACCAAAACAAGATAAGTACGTTTTTTTTTTTTGTGAAGTAATTAAATTGTATTCGAGAGGCATTTAGGAGATGCAATGGTTAATTCTAAATTACAAACTCATTAATTGTTTCTGACACCAACAAACAAATATTACTCCACAATACTCAAAACAAATAAAAGTTCAAAACTTCTCCTGTTTCTGTTTCCCAAGTCTCTTCAGCAAAAAAATTACAAGCACAACCCATTGGCATTAAAGGCATGTTCAGATGAAAAAAATTCAACACCAAAACATAAGTTCGTAATTTTTTTGGTGAAGTAATTAAATAAGGCACCAAGGAGATGCAACGGTTACAACTAAAAATAAAATTGCTTCAAACATGAAAACAGCATGAAGCTCACAGTGCAACAAGATAAGTATGTATTATGCAAGTCGATATTAATAATATGAACGAAATAGAGGGATATGATCCATAACTCGTCACATGGATACCCATAAAATGAAAGCTTTAATATGGTCGTTAGAGAAGAACCTCCAATGTGCTCAAAAGTCGTGTTAATCGCGGCAATCCATTTCTCCCTTTCAGCATTTGCACGGTCTACTAGTATTCTTCTGTTAACATCCTCAGCCAGCTTTGCTTCATGTGCTCTCCCCTCAGCTTCTGCCATTGCTCTCACTCTAATAGTTTCACGTTCTATCTCTGCCTTTTCTCTCTCTGTCTGTCGGCGCTGCGCTTGGATTTGTTCTTCTGTTGCTCGTCTAGCTGCCTCTTGTCTCATAGATGATTCCTCTTGCATTTTTACCAACTCCTGATTCCTAGCTCTGTGATGCTCATTTTCTGCCTGCAGAATCCAAG